GTCAAAGTGACCGTGAAAGGCAAATGTTTTTAATCACTGGGGCGAAGTGTGTTCAAAGTGGTGTGTGTGTGTGTGTGGGGGGGGTACCTTGAGGGAGGTTAATGACAATTTGTCTTCTACTGTAAGCAAACTTTTAAATGTAAAAATTTACTGTATTTTTCAGTTGCACTTTATATTCTACCTTATCATTGATTGATAATAGTGACTTTTTACAGCATCTTCTGCTTCCCAAGTTTCCCCCTTATTTAACCTCCAGTATTTCTGACTTTCCTTGAAACTAGATCACCTCTGTTAACATTGGCTATAATAGATTCAGCAGACCAAAAGCTCTGTTCATAGCCCTGTGCAACGTATTTATAAATTTTATTCTGTGATTTATGTCATCGTTACAGTGGGTCTCCTTGGCCCTTTAAGAAGCTAATTAATCACTAAATATAGACTACAACTTGTTCTTTTCAGTCCTCTGCATGTTTCTTCCCCCCATTGTGTGGTGCCATCTGGTGCTATGAGCTCATGTGTTTTGTGTTCCTTTTCAGAGAACCAGATTCATTGCTATCTAAACCCAGAGAGCTGGGTTAATTTCAAAGTTTGCATGTGTGGCTTTGAAAACACTGAACTCTAATGCCTCCTTGTGGATTCTCGCCGCATCACTCTTTAGCGTAACATTGCCTGGACTTCTGTCCCTGTTTCTCCACCCCATCCAGGTTCACTGTATAAGTGTACTTGTCTTTTTATCAAAAGGACCTACTTTGTCATTCGTAAGCTACAAAGGAGCTCCAGGTCTTTTCCAGTGTGATATTGGTCAGATTTCATTTCCCCAGTTTAATATGGCTGCTGTAGAAAGCCAAACCTTGATAACATGCTTTCGTCTTGGAATGTTTAACTCTCTGCAATGACAGTGGAACAAGTGTTTAAGAACAAGGACATAAAAAGCTAATGGCTGATGTCTGCCACTGCTGCTAATCTGTCCTTTACTTCCACTTTCTCTTCTAATTCTTCTGAAGTCTCAAACCCTTTTCCAAGGAGGGACACACCAGACACGGTACATTTTCTTGCACACTCAGCCTCGGAGCTCTGGGCTCACCACGAGACCCCCACGCCCATCTTTGGGATCTTTGAGTGCTGCTCGATACTGTCTGACTCTGCTCACTGCCCTTCTCTGCTTTTTCTTCTCACCTTAGAATTTTTGGCACTTTACGCTTAGGCTGAGATTCATTGGGGAAGGAAAGGCCTTTTGGTGATGTGTGCAGTGCTTACCTCATTCCTGGCACATGGAAACTTCCCTGGGCAGGAGGAGAACACAGGACCAGCTGTCTACCTTCTTTTTACTGTACTCTCTCCCTGCTGGGATTCTGCCAGTTATCAGCAAGCGCCAAGGAGGAAACGAGCCCCAGGAATATTTGTGCTTATTTGAAAGGGGCTGCGCATTTCCCTAGCACAGAAGCTGTGCTAAGTAAGGCCTGCTCCTCTGAGTCTTAAGCTTACTGTTTCTCCTCAGTCCGACCTCATCTCTAGCATTAAGCATCTTCTGTGAGATGCAGATAGGGTGAAGCCATTAAATCAACTATGTAGCTAATCCAGTCTCCAAATACCATATAAAGAAGGATATGGATAATATACAACTCTTGATTAGGAATCAGCTTTGCTTCTGAAAGAGCTTCTGTTGCAAAACTAGAATAATTACTTTTTACTTCAAATTAACAGTACATTTTAGAACTACAGCTTTGCCTTAGAATTAAGATACATCTCTAAAAGATTAAGGATTTCCAGTTTTCCTGAATGAGCAGGGTACAAAGTTTGAGTAACAGCATATATGTTTTGTTTTGCGCATCAGGAATTGAACTCAGGACCTTGCATTTTCCAGTCAAGCGCTGTGCTACTCAGCTATATCCCAAATTTCCAATGTGTATGTTAAAGCTTGATTAGTATTTAGTACTGTGGCCCCAGGCTAATTACTTAGCCTTTCTGAGCTCCAGATTTTTTTTTTATTTGTTTAGTGGAAGTACAGTACAGTACAGTGCTATTACTGTAGCTCAAAGTGTCATTGATGAGTGTTAAGTGGATGTTTTTGTTGTTGTTCTTTTGAGACAGGGTTTTGCTGTATAGTTCAGGCTGGCCTCAAACTAACCACGACCCTATCACCTCGGCCTCCAAGTGCTGGGGATGCAGGTGTGCACTACCATGCCTGGCTTAAAGGGATTTTGTAAAGTGCATTTTCTCTCACTTTGAGATGATTAGGTGGTTTAGTCTTCTAGATGTATCCTTATTTTTAATACACTAAACCAATATTGCATTCCTAAGATACATCTCACTTGTTCATAATGTTGGAATCTTTTTAAATATTGCTGAGTTCAGTTTGCTCATATTGTTTTAAGGATTTTTACACATATATTCACAAGGAATATTATATAATTTCCTTTTTGTTATATGTGGTTGCATATCAGGGAAATGCTGGCCTCATAAATATCTCTCATCTTCTATTTTTTTCTTTTCTTAATTTCTTTTTGCAGAATTTATGAAGGATTGTTAAATCTTCTGTAAACATTTGCTAAAACTTACCACCAAAGCCATCTGGTCTTTTCTTTGTGGAAAATTTCTACTAACTTAATTACCAACTCAATCTCTTTGTTATAGTTGTACTCATTTTTCTGTTACTTCTTGAGTCAGGCTTACAGTTTGTGACTTTAGAAATTTGTTTATCTGTCTTAAATCATTGACATTTAACTTTTCACAGTATTCTCTTATTTACTCACTTTTATTTCCATAAGATTATTAGTAATAACCTTTGTTTTATTTCTGATTTTAGTAATTTGAATCTTCTTTTTAACTTGGAAAGTTTAGCTAAAGATTTGTCAGTTTTATTAATTTCAAAGGACCAGTTTTTGGTTTATTTTCTGTATATATTTGTTCTCTAATTTGTATTTACTTTTATAATATTTTTCTTCTACTCTGGGTTTAGTTCTTTCTTAGAGTAGGAAATTAGGTTATTGATTTAACATCATTTTCAGTGTATACGTTACAGCTATAAATTTCCCTCTAAGATCGCCGTTAGCTGAATCCTACATATTTTATTGTGTTCTACCTTAGTTTTCATTAATCTCGAAGCATTTCTTGTTTGCTTTTGTGATTTCTTTTTTGACCATCAATTGTTTAGCATTATGATTGTTAATTTACATAAAGTTGTGAATTTCCCAAGCTTTATTCTGTTATTGATTTGTAATCATTATACTGTGGTAAGAGAATATACTTTGTGTGAATTTAATACTTATTAATTTCTTGAGATTTGGTTAACTGTTTAACGTGTGGTCTGTTCTGGAGTGTTCTGTGTGCACAGAAGAATGTGTACTCTGACATTGTTGGGTAGAGCGTTCTGTAGATGTCTGTGTGTCCATGTGGTTTATACTGTTGCTCATGTCCTCTGCTTCTTTGATCTTCTGTTTAGTTGTTCTGCTGTCATGAAAGTAGATTATTGACAAATACTGCTGAGTTGTCTGTTACTCTTTACAGTTCTTCAGTTTTTGGTGCATGCAATTTGGGATTGACAGATATGTTTGTATTATTTTATCTTCTTACTTTATTAATACTTTTACTGTTATAAAACATCATTCTTTGTCTCTAGTGATAATATTTGTCTTAAAGTCTGTTTTAGTTGATAGTAATATAGCCATACCATCTCTCTTTTGATTACTCTTTGTGCTATATTTTCTCTTATCCTTTTCTTTAAACCTGTTTGCATCTTGAATACTAAACTCTCCCTTCATTGTCTGATTTTTAAAATTTTCACTTCGCTTTCATATTTACAGAAATTTCACTAATTAGAGAATAATTTGCATCTCTGAGGATACTTTTCTTGACAGCTGCTGGGGTTAAAGAACACTCACACCTTTTTCAAAATTAGTTTAATGAAATTGCGTTTATTCAAACAACTGGTCAAGATGATTTACAATGCAAAAAGGATATTTTATTTGTTATTTAGGAAAGGTTGATTCTTTCCATGGGCTCAAGAATAATAACAGATCTGACTTTTTTTATAGTAAAAGCATGAGTGAGGAGAAGGTTATACTGATGGGTATGCTTGCCGAACCATAACATCATGCCTAGGGCTGGCCATATGACCAGATAAAGGGGGGTAGAAAAATTGTTTTTCTTTGTTCTGTTTTCAAATTACCACTTCACTCAAAAAGGCCATAATTCAAGTAAGTAACATTCATACTAAGGATTGATATCAGCTGCTGCTGGGTTAAATAGGCTTTTGTCTGGAGATAAAATCAGCCTATGACCATACCACCCCAAATGTGCCGTCTTCTCTGGAGATAAAATTACCACTTAGGCCTACAACATAGATAAAGCTTTTTTGAAAAACTGTCTTCCAGTGTCTGAATAGAATACTTCCTAGTGAAAAAAAAAATTTTGGTACTGAGGATGGAGTCACAGGACCTTTTTTCTAAACTATGGCTAAATCTCTTTTTATTTAATTTATATTTTTTTAGTTTGGGATAGGGTGTTGCTAAGTCGCTAACTTGCCCAAGCTGGACTTGATCTTGTGATATTCATGCCTCAGCCTCCCAGAGTTCCATGATGAACTTTTTTACCAAGCCATTTGAGAGTTTGAGACTAGATTAAATTTAAAACTGTAATTTATGTATTAATTTTAAAGTTCTAAATCGATTTTTCCCAAACATCTATATACTTTTAGGGCATGTCTCCTTGAGTAGTTTTTTTTTTTTTCTTAGTTCAGACTAACTCTATATTGGAAAACATTTAAGGGAATTATAGATCCTTATAAAATTTAATACATTTATAAAATTAAACATGATTTTAAAAAGTATTTCATCTGGTAGGTTTTTACTGCTCTGACTTGCCTCTGTTAATGAGAATAATCAAGAGGTTCCTATCCCCTCTCCCATTCAATCAGTTTAGGGTAAATTATTCTGCCTTAGGTCTCCGAATTCCATTACAAATGAATAAACCAGTAAATCTCATTTCTTCCTTCCTTCAAGGTATTGCGCAGCGATGCACAGCCATCAAGTACCACTTTTCTCAGCCAATCCGCTTACGAAACATCCCTTTCAATTTAACCAAGACAATTCAGCAAGATGAATGGCATCTGCTTCGTAAGTATTTCAGGGAAAGGGTCCAAGAGGAAGTGGTGTCTTTCTGAACAAAAAAATAATTCCCACCATACATGCTGTCAGGTTTGGACTAAAAGATGTTTATCGTGCGTGAGTCTCTGGGCTAGGTTGGACTTTATCAGAGATTCCAAGATCATTTCCCTTGCTGCGGTATAGCTTGTTTATAAGTCAAGGTGTAAAAACCAGGCATGAGGCGTGTGCCTGCCTGCCTGGGTGGCCTCAGGACACAGCAGTTGACCGAATCTTCTTTTTATCAGGTTGTCAGGTACAAGAACCTGTGCTACCACTTGTCTTATGAAACCAAAGAGATTATACCTTTGGTGCTCTATTTTCATTTTGTTTCTCCAATATTTATTTTAGCTACTGTGTTTATCTCAGACCTTGGTATTTCGGCTGAAACATCTTTATGCGTATGTATCATAATTTTCTCAGAGGGTGTCTGCTACCTATACATCTCAACAAGGAACTGATCTTTTTCACTGTCAGGAAAATGTGAAACTCTAGAAAAGATCATGCGATGAGAAACTGAAGAGGGCTGATAGTTACTTGAAAACTGTTGATTCAAGCTGCCTGGTAGTACAGAGCTCATCAAAGCAAAACACTACCTTGAATTCTTTTCAGTATTTCCTAGGATGAAAGGTTACTATTGTCCATTTTCCAATGAAATATGCATTGAGAGCCTCAATGATCTTGTTGAGTGGCAAAAGCCACTTAGCAGACCAAGCAGAGTATCCTTCTGTAAGTAAATGTTCCCTGCAGAGCAAAAGGTTCTATTTTGAATCTCACATGGAAACTCTAATGATGTTGCCCTGACAGTGGGCTACTATTATAAATATTAGGACTAGAAACTTTAGAACTTGGAAGATCTGTGGCTTATTTTCTCATTTCTTCGAGTGTGACTTCTTCAAATTACTTTCCTGCTGGCATATTTTAACACTTCTCAGCAGATCAAAGTCTTGGATTTCTTAATGAGCATGTTTGGAGGTTTTAGTCTTAAACATCTGTCCAGTGAGCCTCCTAGTTACTGATATTGATCAGGTAAGAAAAAATGGGCTTAGGATCTGTGTATCTTTTTGCTAAATATGAACCCTGTTGTTGGATAGAAAAGCAATAATTTAGCATTCACCTCAAAATTTTTTTGGAGTGCCCATAGAAAGATGCTTTCAACAGACTAACACCTGACTATTGCTAAAGAACATCCTAGTTAAGGTTAACATACCTGATATCAATGTAAATCTCCTGTGGATTACATCTGAACCTTGTGCCTTTTAGTTGTCACAAAATTTAGAACTATCATTCAAACCACAGGGAATTTGGGAGCTTGTAAGATAATAGCAGTTGAACTGTTACTACATTTCTCCTGCTCAGATGTGATTACCTCCAAGGTACTTACACATGTAACACTAAACTTAGCATCTTTAAATTTGTGACTCTCCTGGCCCCTTGCTCTGCAGTATTTACATTTCTTTTCTAATAGAGATGCCTTGTTTTAATACGAGTCCTCCAGGCTGGAAATAAGTAATCTCCTTTAAGAAAATGGTCTGTGTTTGGCTATGATACTAAGAATAAGACAAGAAGCTACTGTAATCCATCCTCTACACAGCAACCCTGCCATGCCCAGGAGCTGAACAAACATACGATGTGGCAGCTGCCTGGGCTTCTCCCACGTTAACCAAGAAGCCTGTATTGTGACACTGGGGTGTGCATCTGTCCCAGTTCCATGTGATTATGTGTGTCCTGGTCCACATACAGGGACAACAGATACATGCCTGGAATCTGCTGTTTTAAGAAGCATCGTAAACATTTTCCCATTTAGGTAACATATTTTAGGTTAGCTTTGTTTAAAAAAAAAGAAAAGACATAGAAAAAATGTAAAATAGCTAAAAGGTGGGCAACTGAGTGCTGAGGGTTACTTTATGTTAGCAAGTTCAGAGGAAGTGGGTCTGGGTGGTGGTCATCAGTTTGGGCAATAGACCACACTTGGCATTTGGGTGTACTCAGATCATCGGGACAGTCCCTGAGCCTAGGTAAACTGGTACTTGGCTAAAAGTGCATGTATTTTAGGGGAGAGGGTGTTCATGTGCAGACATCTCACTCTGATCTACTGTTTCATTCCTCACAGTCCTTTTGGAAAATAGGCAGAGATGGCGATAAATTTAAAAAAAATTGTCATCTGTGATGCTCAGGCAAAATCCCATTTCACTGTGTCTTAACTTTTAGACTTTTCCTCTAAAAGTCACAGCCGCCCTTGTGGTGGTAACCTTTATTTCCATTGGTCTTTGAAGGCAATGAAAATAATTTTTAGACCTGTCATACTCTCAGTTTACTAAGTGATTCCTATTATCCAAGTTTACCTTGGAGTAAACTGTTACTATCTTTTTCATCTTGGAAATGATCTATATGTTGATCAACAGATGAATGAATAAGGAAACTGTGATGTTCATATACAGTGGAGTACTACTCCACCATAAAGATAAACTGAAGTGGGGGCTGGGATTTAGCTCAGCAGTATAAGCACCTGCCTTGCAAGCAGGCAGTCGTGAGTTCGATCCCCGGTACTGATAAAAAAGAAAAAGAAAAAAAAAAAAAAAAAGATAAACTGTAGTAAAGTGCTCTGAACTTGGACTTCTCCATGGCCTCAGAGGGGCAGAGTGACCCAGCTGTGGGTACGCCTACCTGCCCTGTCCTCTTATGAACAGACAGCTGGGGAGAGAATTCCCCAAACCACCTTACCCTGAAGACCTCCAGCCTGTCTACTTAACTTAGTCATTTCCACAATGTATGCAAAATGTCGATAATGTTCACTTTCCTGACTCTTTCTGACTTTGGATGTCTGTTTCTGTGTTGAGATTAGATTTGAGAAGAATCACTGCTGGCTTCCTGGGCATGGCGGTTGCCGTCCTGCTGTGCGGCTGCATTGTGGCCACCGTCAGCTTCTTCTGGGAGGAGAGCCTGACCCAGCATGTGGCTGGCCTCCTGTTCCTCATGACAGGTACGCTGAACTCCGCTCAGGCCTCATTGTGCTAGACAGCCCTTTATTTTGTTGTCACTGTTGAGAGCCAGAAGGTCACTTAGCTTTGGTGGGGAATACAGAGTTTAAACAAAACAAGTGTTACACACAGTGCTCCGGTTTCCCCGCTGAGGCACATTAGTAGCTCAGGTGGAAAGGAGCTGCTTTAATCCCTGTCGTTCAGTCTCATTCTTTCATACTGTGCCTCAGAGCCTGATCTGCACTCTTGGTGAAGGTGGGCCACTGCTAATCAGGAGCCCATGAAGAGAGAGAGAATGACAGAAAACTACACCCATTTCTAGTCCAAAAGTCCAGGCAGAGTACAGGCCTCAGTCATGGTGGCACAAGTGTCTTTGTTACATACACATCATTCATGCATTTCCCTCCACAGAGATTTTTTTGAGGACTTACTATGTGTCAGACAGTGCTCTAGATATTAGAAGCCTGTCCTGAGTAAAGCAGCAAAATCCTCATACGTGTTTTTGTGGGCAGAGATAAACAGTGATTTGTGACAGTGATAAGAGCTGTAAAGAAAATCAGCAGGCTGGGGATTTAGCTCAGCGGCATAAGCGCCTGCCTTGCAAACAGGCAGTCGTGAGTTCGATCCCTGGTACCGGTAAAAAGGAAAAAGACAAAAAAAAAAAAAAAAAAAGAAAATCAGCAGGGTGAAGAAGAGGCTCGGAGAGGGCTTTGCGGAGGTGACGATTTCTGGGCCAGGTCCTGTTGGGAGGGTGTCAAACCCTGGGAAAGTGGCACTGGTGAATCATGAGTCACAGAAAGGTGACGAGCATGGCTGAGGGGAGGGAAGGGAAGCCAAGCAGCCATGAGGTGGGAGTCGTGGGCTGCCCCAAGTCTTTAGCTCTTTTGTCATTACAGTGAGGAGCTTGGATCTGAAGCTTAAAGGTGGTAAAAACCACTGGAAAATTAGGTGAGGAAGGATGATTTGAAGCATGACTTTGGGATTAGCTATGTGGAGACACAGGGAGGGATGTTTGGCGTAACAAGTGCAAGATACGTTTGTGTAAAAAAGGAGTTGAGGATTGAGCTGATGGCTGATGCTGGCTGAAGGTGACTGCAGGAAAGAAATCTCTCCTTTTTTCCCCCTTCACTAAAAATTAATGTTAATGAGTGAATGCCAAGTTAAGTTACATAAAGTATACGCAGCATCAGAACTAATACTACCCTAGATAGCCATTTTTAATAAGCTTTCTCCACTTCTCCAGGCCTCAGGTCATTTTCTATCTGTCTGTCTCTCAGAGCTGATGGGTAGGTGACACCTTGTTTTCTGGTGTGCTCACCCTGTGGTTTTAAGTGCCAGAGCAGGACTCTTGATTCCCACTCCCACCTGCCTCTTTCCCACTCTTGCATATGGATGATCCTCAAAAGCTTCCTGACAGAAAGTGCAGGGCCTTGTCCTGGGTCCTCACGGTCCACGAACCATGTATAGTTCTCATGGACCCTGTGTGGTTCTGAGCAGGACACCAGTTTGTGTGTGTGTGTGTGTGTGTGTGTGTGTGTGTGTGCCAGGGATCAAACTCATGACTGCACACTTGCAAGGCAGGCACTTACGCCGCTGAACTAAATCCCCAGCCCCTAGTTGGTTTTTGTAGATTTGGATGAACGTTTGCAAGGCTGCAGTGCAGTAAGGCCTACACCAGGTGCTGAAGTTTGTGGGGGAGGATTTGTACCATCAAGTTCAGCCAGTGTGTGCCTGCTTATAGGATGTATTTGCAATCCAAACGGTAGAGTGTGCAGGTGATATAACAGACAAAAAGAGACGAACTGCCAGGAGGATTCCTTTAATCCTTTTTTGGAGCTTCTCTGTTATTAAAAGTATTTCCCATGTGCTCCTCTATTAGTCACACCCTCATTTCCTTGAGGTATATGAGTTGCCTATATACTTCAAAGAAGTGCAAGTTTGCTTCCCTTAGCCCTGGACAGTCCCTTGTCTTGTGTAATAATTTCTAGACTTGACCAAAAACTCAGTAGGATTATTGTTTAAAAGACACTTTTAATATTTGTAGTGCATGAATAATTTAGGATGCTCTTAGCATATAAAACAATTCTTAGCATCAAAATAAATTCTAAGACCATGAAAGTCAGGCCTCTTGAATGTTCCCTGAGTAGCCCAGGGGCTGGTCTGGTTTTAAAGGGCTGGAAAGTGAGCTCAGTGGAGACCCAGGAGTTTCCTGGGTGCTGTATCCTTCTGTCCTTGCTGTGAGATTTAGTGTTTTGTTTTTGTTCTTACAAATAATACCTTGAAATTTCCTTTAGAAACACAGAGATAACCATGTTAATCTACTGTAGGAGATAAATTAGCTGCAGAATCTTCATATGCAGTAGCAGCAAAGAGAACAAGTAAGGGTTAAAAGAATTGATCTTAATTAAGCAAACTGTCTTGAGCAGCTCTAGACAGCAGCCCTCCCACAGATTTTTGGTGCTAAACTTAGCCCCTTTCTAATGTGCTGGCGTCTTCATTCTCTGTCTGAACTTATTAGCCAAACCTTCAATGGAAAACATCAATGACGTGACAGTTTGAGCTGTTAAAATGGAAACTATGGAACAGTTTTTTTCCTTCTGCTTTATTGCGTGCAGACAGGTCTTGATTACCCACATGTGGAGCAGGACTTCTGCGGGCTGTCAGTTCACATTTGGGAGTCAGGTCAGACCTGTCTTCTCTGGGCCTTGCAAGGGTTCCTTAAACAGGACCAGAGTAGGCCCAAGGGCTTTTGATGTCTTGTCTTTGGAAGTCACACACAGGCACACAGGAGCGAGGGAAGGAGATTCTTCTCTTCCAGTTCAAGCTTCTGCCCATTACTAGAGTATACTACTGTTTTCCCTGTGAGCATTTCCATCCACAAGTGACTACCATTAGACTGCCATGGTAACGCAGTTATAATTGTCATGATTTAAATTATAAATATTCTAAAGGGCTTTTAGTCAGTGATAACACTTTTGAGTATAATTTTTATATCTCTGTTATAGGATTTTAATTATCTTTTAATACATAAGGAGTTCCAAAAGCTAGTAAAGCATGGAGTTCCCCTGGTGTGGGTCTCACTGCCCACTAGCTCTGTCCTCCTCCTCAGCAGTTCCCTGAACAGCCATTGCATTCTGGAAGAGCACACATGGCAAGAATATTTCCTCCCTTACAGCAGGGAAGGGGACAGAGCCAGGCAGCCCCTTCAAAGCATCAGGGGTGGTTAGGGCTCACCCTGGATTATCTGCTCCTTTGCTTCACTGCATAACCAAACCAAACCAAACCAAACCAAACCCAGCCCAGCCCCAGCCCCAGCCCCAGCCCCAAACCAAGAGAGGACAAGACAAATAAAACAAAACAACAACAACCCCCAAAAACTATAGCAGAAAACCCTAAAACTCTGCTGGGGTATGTGTATTGAATTATCTACTGATTATGAACTGGATCTGCAGGTCTGTAGTGCTTTGTCTGAAACCCTTGGGGCTGGGTACATATTGTAATGTAAGATTTTTAAAATTCTATTTTAGAAAGGTAAGCAGTATGGTGCATATGTAGCCTGTATTATCACTCTCGGCAAGGTCTGGAGCAGCATCTTGAAATCAGATACATTAACATCTCTGCAGCAAAACATATGAATATTCACACTAAGCAAGATCAATATAAACTATATCAGAACAGGTTAGAACAAGCCATATTTTGCCACTCAAAGGAATTACTGCATTTTTTCAGAGAAAGATTTGATTTTTAAAATTTAGGAATTACAGTGTGTGGCTCTGTTTTTGTGTTTATTATCTATTTTTAAAATTTTGTCTATTGCTATTCATTTAATTAGGCAATATAGTCATGGATTTTTGAGTAATGTATGTGGAAAGTCACATGAGGCATTTTTGCTGTGAGAGCAAAGAGGCCAGAATGATGGGCAGGCCATCTTTTGAACGAGCGGGGGGAAAAAAATCAATGTTTATGCCTTTGAGTCTTGTAGTTAGGTTATTTATCAAGCAGGCTAACCAGAGAGAAGCAACTTCTACTACTTTAAGCCTTTTAAGCACATCAAAGGAGGGACATGGAAAGAATAGGCCCAGTTACCCTAATTATATCTTACCAGCTGGCCACAGGCACCACAGAGATTTCAGGGTAGGAAATTAGGTTGATGGTCTGGATGGTGGCATAAATTTACTGCTGTCTTGACCTGAAAATATGCCTTCCAGCCCTGCGGTTCTGTGATATCATGGTATCTTCTAATTAAGGATATTGGCAGAAACCTTTTAATATTTTATGAGAAGAATAGCTGCAAACGGGTTGTCAAGGAACCAGTAATTATTCACTCTTTTTAAGATGCTACCAACAATAACCAGGAGTAAGCTCAGGACTCAGAACCCTCCCCCCTGGGCTATCGGCTAGGCTGGAGAGAATCAGCTGCTCAGGGAAAATGGGCAGGGGAAGGGAAAGCCAGAGAGAAGAATGGAGGATAGATAACCTTTCACCCAGTGGATCTTCGAGATGGACCCTTAAAGTTTAAACTTTCTGAATGATGGAGTACTTTATCTTTTTGCTGCTACTTGTGAAAATGCAATATTATCTAGAATAACTTGGTGCATAGGTAAATCCTAATGGGACAGTTTGGTATGAACTGGGTCTTAAATTGGTAGAAACTCCATGTATTTGGAGACTAAATAACATGTTATTGAATAATCAATAAATCACAGAAGAAATCAGGGAAGAAATAAAAAGATTTCTAGAATCAAATTGCAATGGAAGCACAACATATCAAAGCCTGAGGGACATGATGGAAACATTTCTAAGGGGAAATGTCATAGATTAAATGCACACGTAAGAAGAGAGTAATCTCAAATAAATAACTGAGAAAGGTCCTAGAAATAACCTAGAAAGATAAAGAGTAATCCAAATCTGAAGGAAGGAATTTACAAAGATCAGAGTGGAAAGTAATGAAGTTGAGACTAAAAAACACAAAGGACCAATGATGCAAAGAGCTGATTACTTGAAAGGATGGGGAAGGGATCTGGGGGAGACAGAAGAGAGGAGAAGTAAAAAGGATCAATTCTATATAAATATATCACTCCACACAATGAATATACTTACTGTGTATTACAAACATACTGAAAAATCCATCCATGTATGGTACAATTCAGTTTTGTTTAGCAGGGTTTCTTGACTCTGTCTTCAGCTCTGTTAGATAACATCTGTAGCTAACATGAAGCCCAGGATGAGTCTTCTACCTTTGAGTTGCATGCTGGAAAACAGAGTAGAAAGAGCACTTTAGGTTCCTGATCTCATCAGTATTGAATGAGTTATGGCTATGACCAACAAGGACTTGTGAAACTAAGCTACCTTTAATATAATCACAACTAGGTCTTTGTCATTAGTAGAAAGTAATTGTTGAATATCTAATTAAGTGACACTTAAAATAGTACAGTCTTGCTAAGGCCTGTAAGAGAAATGGAACTATGTTCATTGATTACATGCACACACACACACACACACACACACACACACACACACACCCTGTGTTATAGGCCAAGTTGTATCTCTCTCGATTTATATGTTAAAGCCTTAATCCTCAGAATTTCAGAATGTGATCTTATTTGAAAATAGTTTTTTTTTAAAAGAGAAAATTAAGTTAGGTCATTAGGGTAACTCCTAACCCAAAATGACTCATGTTCTTAAAGAGGAAATTTGGCCCGAGGGGATAAGGGAATACAATTGGAAAGGACTTCCATGAGGTGATCTAAAATGTGGCAGGAGAGGGCTCTCAGAAGAAATCAGTCTTGCTGACCTCTTGTTGCTGTGACAAAATACCTGAGAAAAGCCAGCTTGAAGAAAAAAGCTTTGTCTTGGCTTAAGATCCAAACCATACTGAAAGGCAAGATGGACTCAAGAATGAGAGTGGAAGCAGAAGCATACCAAGAAATCCTGTGCTCATGCTCCTGATGAACCACACATTCAGTGTTAGGGAGCTGAAGCTCTCTGAAAAACTTGGACAAAGAAAAAAAATCCTATTAGTGACAGTATGCATATGTCCATGAGGTAAAGCATACATCAAACGCCTGGGATAGCACAACTGTGCATGACGCTGGTGGTAAGAGAAATCTTCACCTTGATTAAGTCCTGAGATTGGATGCTTCTTAATCTTTTCCAGTTCAGTATGAGATAGCAAAATTCATTTCACCAAAAGCAATTCTATGGAATTGATGGGAGAGGAATTGATTTTTAAAATAAAAAGGAATATATACAGAAAGGAAAATAATAAACTATTCTATTTTTATTTAGTTATGTAATACTGAGTACTAGATTCATAAGAAATTTTAGGAAATATACTCGTTCATGTCTTATTTTGGATTAACAGAATCATAAAAACTTGACACTGTAAGAGACATCAGTAACAAGCCCTCACTGTTTTTCCAGATGACATTGCAGCTCAGAAAGGTTATGTAATTTCAAGGTCACATAATGATTTGTAGTAGACTCTACGACTAGAATACATATTTCTTATATTCCAACTCAGCACATTTAGACATCAAAGGATGCTTAAACATCTAAGTTTGAGCTCAAGCTTTCAGAGGTCATTTAACTGCTGTTACTTGTAAAAATGCTTGCTTTGGGGCACTCAGCTGTGTGCAGACAGCTTAAGGCAGAATGGAGTTGTTTTTCCTATGAACCGATAATTGTTTGAGTATTGTATTTTACCTGTCGATAGTCCAGAGATCAGTTTTTTCTCCTAGCAGCCTTGTGAAACAGCATTAAAGAGCCCTGTTATATATGAACGTTTGTCTTTCTTTTGATGACAGTGAAAACATTCACGTAAATGTATGAACATTTGTTCTTCACAAGGTTTAGAAAAAGCAGAAGAGTATGTTTTTAATGGCCAATTCCTTTATGAAAGGATTATTTCCATTTTGGTCTTTCTTTTGGAGAATTTAGGGTGATACAATGGTACCCTGGTTCACTAACTCAGTTTTCTCCATGATTATGTACCATAAGGTCAACACTTAACCTGATCACTGAATTTAATTTGATTCGAGTCCAACTCGGTTTGTATTCAGAATCATGGAAACAATCAAGTTCATGAACCAAGGGACCACTGTGTGTCTATTGTGAGAGAAATGGAGCAAGAAGTCAGATGATGAAATGTTACTCTTTTTAGAAAAGTAAGATTACTTTAGAGTTTAAAAACAGTTTTGGGCAAAAGGTAGCAAGTACCAAATGGTCTCAGATCAAGCATCTTTTAATTTAGAACATTTATTTTCTAAATGAACATTTGCAAAAAGATTCAGGCAATGTGCACTTACATGATTTTAATGGAAGCAGATTTCTAGCACTTTACACTTTAAAATGGCATTAAGGTGAACGTTATTTCCTTCACACTGCCACTTACTCTGAATGGTATTTGTGCTAGTGTTTTTAATCTCTAAAACTATAGATTAAAAGGAGGATGGAGAAGGAACCCTAGTCCCTTCAACTGTCTTTTCAGTTCTGAAATTTGTGTTAGTTTCCAAAGGAGATGCTGCATGCATCCCTATGGCTACCAAGGCAATTTTTCAACAAATAGATGCCACCTCCATCACACACAGGGATGCCCTGGGATATGACCGAGATGTGCAGGACTCAGAACAGAATCAGACATTCCAATGCCTGGTTGGGCACCAGTTTCTGTTTTTATCACTCACCTTCAGCTCCACAACTGCCTTATTCTGATCCCGTGCCTTCCCACAAAGAGCATCCATGTGACCCCGCTGTAGAAGCATCTCCATCCTTAGGGTATCACTCGGGCACTAAAAATGGATGGTTTGGGCATTGGAAGCATTTTTGTCAGAATCTTGATTTTAGAGTTCTTGAAGACCAACTATACATACATGTCTTGACAGAAAAGGTAAAATTTTCCCCTATATCCCTCCAACTGCCTACAATTTGAGTTGACAGACATGATTTCCTTACCAGCTATTTTATGTCAATTTCAGATTTCTAGACTTAATTTACATTATTTCAAAGCATTCATTCATTCATTAAAAATTTTTTTTTGTTGAATTGTCTAGCATGCATGAGGCCCTAGGTTCAGTCCCCAGTTCTGAAAACCATCTTTAATTATGAATGTGAGTGAACTCTGTGAACTAAAAACATGCACTAATAAAAAAAAGACAAAAATATATTTTTGTTGAGACTCTACTGTATGTTGGACTTTGAACTTTAACAAAAGCCAGTCATAAGAATTCATTTAAAATATTATTTACAAGCAATGTAATGAATACTCATAGTATGTTCACTGAAAAAAACCCCAGACTTTTGTGGCTATTACAGCTACATAAAAATTTGCCAAGCTGTATATAGACCAAAAGGAAATTTTGACAACAATTTTATATTAGATTTGAAATGTTCTAGATTTTTTTCCCTTAAAAATAAAATTTTTAGGCAAGTGTGGTGGCACATGCTTATAGTTCTAGCTGCTGAAGAGGCTGAGGCAGAGGAACAGAAGCTGGAGGCCAGGCTGGGCGACCTACAAGACCCTGTCTCAAAAAGAGAGTAAAATAGAATTTTCATTAAATTGCTCTTAAGAATAAAAAGCAAAAATAAATTTAATATGCATAAGTAACCATTCAAACCAAGTAATTCTGAATAATTCAAATTATAAAAATTTTCTCGTCTTTCGTAAGCTAGAGTCTGACACATAGAAGTTTTGTCAATGTTCGTTGAATGAATTTTGATCAAAGAATTATGATCTTTATGAATCAGAAGTGATTGCCTAACTGGTTGATCTAATTTTCACAAAGGCTTCTCTGGCATTTGCCTGGTAGACGGCAAGGCTGTAACTGATCGTTCTGTTCTCTTTGTATTATTTTAGGGATCTTTTGCACCATCTCCCTCTGCACGTATGCCGCCAGTATCTCTTACGATTTGAACAGGCTCCCGAAGCTAATTTATAGCTTGCCTGATGATGTGGAACATGGCTACAGCTGGTCTATCTTTTGCGCCTGGTGCAGTTTAGGTTTTATTGTGGCAGCTGGAGGTCTCTGCATTGCCTATCCATTTATTAGCCGGACCAAGATTGCACATCTAAAGTCTGGCAGGGACTCCACGGTATGACTGCACTCAAGGCCCAGGACTGTGTGGGTGACTCCTAAGTGGAGAGAAGCGGAGTTCACATCAGGATTCCAAGCACAAAGCGTCTTTTACATTCCAACCTGTTGCCTGCAGCCCTTTCTGGATGACTGATTGAAAATCATGCAAAACCTCCCAACCTTTCTAAGGACAAGACCTCCGTGGATTCAAGTGCTTTAATGACTATTTATGCTTTGACTGTGAGAAATAGGGAGCGGTGTGCCATGGAACATTTCTAGGTGTGGAAAAGGAACTTACAATGGAAAGATTTGTATGGTTTCCATTTATTTCAGAAAGTTTGTATATAACAATTACCTGAGAGTCATTTCTATTTGCAAAAGGATTCATAACAAAGGGAGTATAATTTTCTTGTCAGTGCTTGTTAAAGTTTAATGCAGCATTTTCAGAGTTTGTCCTAATGGTGTCTTATTGTGTCAACACCCGATATTTGTGCATTATTTGTGGATGTTCCTTGTCACAGGGGGATTCTTCTTCTGTTGCCTTATTATTACTTTTTAATTGAAATCTCTTCTCTGTCTTTGTACTGGGATTGAAATCATAAGGAAAACAGATCAACCGTGTACGAGCTAATCTGTGACACTATGCAGTACTGTTTGGAGCTCTATCTGTTGTTCAGCCTCGGTCTCTTTATGTTAACTGGATTTCTGCATTAAATGACTGCCGCCTTGTTAATGTAGGTGTGTTTTTCTCTGTCATTTAGCTGGGTCAATGAGTGTCCATAGCCAAAGGACAGATGGAACTGTGTTAATAAGACTCTTATTAAGCCTAATTGTCTCATTTCATTTAGGTTGGTCTTTATTAATCTTTTGTGGCAATCATAGGCTTGCTATTGACAAAAGATGGTATTTCAAGTTTCCTTTAAAACCTAACTATAATATTTAAATCTTTCCCCCATCCTTTACCATCTCCTTGGTGTTTATATAGTGATATGCAGACATGCTCCCTAGCATTGTTCTGGGCCAGTGGGTTTCAACTTTAGCTGTACATTAGAATCACTTAGCAAATTTTTCAGCAGTCCCCACCCAGGGTCCCAGGCTGACCAAGATCCACAGGTGGACCTAGGCTTGGTTGTTTTTAAACATCCAAGCTAATTTCGATGTGTAGCTAGGACTGAGAACCACTGTTCGGGGCCATAATCATACTTACCTCTTTACTCCTGAATAAGCTTATTTAGCCTTTACTATGTGCCAGTAACTGGGTGACTCTTTCTGGATGTTATTTCATTTAGTTCTCCCAAAAGCTCAATGAGATAGTTGCTATTCTGTGGCAGCTAAGGATCAGACTCCAAACGTTTGTTCTTTTCCCCTTGAACCCCTTTCCTTTTTGTGGGCACAGCAAAATTAAGAGCCTTCCATAACAGTATTTTCTTATCTTTCAGTGGAGGGTCGGGCACTAGCTAACATCTAAGCTTTCCCTTTGAACTCTAGCATTATCCTCTCTCTCCTAGTGGGTACGTATACTAAAAATGCTTTGTGGAATAGGGAATGTTACTGTATCCTGAATAAGATGCCATTTCAGACTTTAATTTTACAAAAAGGTACTATTCTTTCTTCTTTATAAAAACTTATTTAGTACTCAGCAAGGAAAATAATTATTCTAGAGAGAATAAAGTCAGATTTCCAAATGACAGTGTCCACATACTGTCACAGAAGCTGCTCTGATGAGGTCAGCTGACACCTGGGCCCTGTGTCTCCAGGCACAGCCAAGGCTGGTAAACATATTCCTGACAGTCTCTCTGGCCTGTTTGATAAACCAGTCCCTCCGGACAAGATCAGAGATGTATGCAAAGGGGCAATTATTTCCATTTATTACTTATGTGGGAAATTTTCAAAGCAGGAGTGCTCTTTCTTTGAAGTGTTTTTTAAAAAAGATCCCCATAGAAGATGTCAGGACTCCTGAACATTTATATTGCACCCACCAAAGCAACGTCTGATGAGTCACTTTTGAAGTTTCAGAGAGCCTTTCTAGAGGTTTGAGGTGAGAATGGAAGAAAGGTTTGCAGTGGCAGAAGGTGGAAGGGTTCAAACACCAGAAGGATTTGCCCAGAAGCTAGGGGAGTTCACTTAAGATTCAAACGTGTGCTGGCAAGAACTGGGGCTCCCTGCCTTGCAGCTCCTGTGAGCTCAGAATGTGGAGCCACACGCCTGGCCTCAGTTTCTCGCTTTTTGTTTACCTCCATGAAAGTTGCCAATTTGATGCCCAGTCCTCGGGGTTCTCTGAGGGGTGTTTCCTTAATTGGCTGCACAGCACTGTGTGGGCTGAATATAATTTACTGAGATCCTCTGCGAGTGTCCTGTTCACTCTGTCCCACTTCCTGCTGCATGCATGGAGCCAGACTACTTTTTTGCCTTAAGGGTTGTTGCTGGGCAGAAAACAGAGTGGCTGAGCTTATTTAAGTGAGGATTTGGGGTGGGGGGGAAACCAGAGAAATGACTTTCCAGGTGCAAAGTGCCCAGGGCAGCCTAGAAACTGGAAACAGAAGACTGCAGGCTTCTGATTAGCTGTATACTTCCTCAAGGCATCAGGGTGTCCGGGGAGATGGGGGGGCCTTGGTACATTAGCTGTCAGGTCCCAAAAGTACACTCAATGGGCTGAGAAGGACCCATCCTTGGAATAGAGGTTCTCAGTAGTAACCAGTCCAAACATTGAAAAGTCTAAGGGCATTGGAAGGCCTGTGCCCATGGGTCCCCAATAACGAGTAAGTTCTGCATTTCCTTGTGTTCTGCAAGATAGATCTCTGCATTTGGAGTGGATTTACAGAATATCTGAGATTATGGACTAAGAATCACACTTGGCTGCCATCTAGAGTCAATATTTGCAAAAAAAAATTACTCAAGATCTTAATGAGACAGCTACAGGGCCTGCATGCCCCTCTTTTGCACAGCCTTGTCCTCATTTGTCCTTGGATTATTTACAGTTTTAGGACCCGTGAGCCCACGCTGAGGGGGCCCTACCTTCTCATTGTCTAGACCACCACTGTCCCTAGAAAGCCCAGATTTCCCATAGACTGTACCATGCCCCTAAAATTATATCTCTCAAAAAATATTTTTGAATGTCTAATATGTGCCAAAACCAATTTAAAGCACTTGGGAAACATCAAGCAAAAGAAAGGTTCTTTTCCTTGGGAAGCTTATGTTCTAGTAAACTGCAGTTAAGTACAAGTAAAAAGTTACCCTTTCTGTCCCTAAATGATTGCATAAATCCACAAGTAAAGTAATTCAAACATTGTTAAGATAAAATTTTTTTTATGTTCCCACTGGATGTATGCATTTCACATCATGCCATTCTCATTGCTTGGATTTATCTTTGGAAAAAAATAGATTATTAACTTTTGGGAGGTAGGGCTGGGCAGGCTCAAAGAGTCTGTATTGGAAACAGATCTGAGAATGACAAAGGGACTACACAGGTGAGCCAAGGAGCGTGACAAGGAACCTTGGATCTTGGAGACTCAGGAAAATGAAGGTCCATAAGCTCAACGCAAACAGCCCCAGGAAAGCTACACATCCAGAACTCTAAGAGCACCTGGACACTGCCTTTAGGTCTTTGCTCAGGACATTCCCTTTGCTGCGGACACTCAGCAACTTTTCTTGAGTTATTCCAACTTTTCTTTGTGTCTCAGCTTCAAAAGAACCTCGGTGATCCTGTGCTTGTACAGCCTGCACGGCACCAACCCCTTTCCTGACCAGTTAGACTCCGCAGAGTATTTACCTGTTCACCACTAACCAGAGCACAGACTCTCACAACGTGCAAACTACCTTGTGCCTGCTTGGTTCCACTGGTTAGCTCAGTGCCTGGTACACAGTTCTAAGTCTGGAATCAGTGAATGAATTCGGAGTTACAGATAAAATTCTCCCCTTCCCTGGGCAGAACTGATTCCTTTAGCATCACCACTAGGGAAGCCATTAAAAATAGACAGTGGTATGATGAAACTAAATGGAAAATGGGTATAGCTTGGTAAGCAAGTTTGTCTCATTAGAATAATTAAAGGCACTATTAACCCAAAGTAACCCAAATGCAACTTGAAATGTGTTATGAACTGTGGAACATTTATTTGATGCTACAACCACTATTAAGTTAGCAACCTTGGTATAATTCTACACATTTTAAACTTTCTCACTTATGTGTGGGTGTTTTATACCTCTAATTGGAATTCTGAAAGAAATGCTTCAGAAATGACTTTTCTTTGAATGCAAATAGCTATACTGACCAAGTACTCTTTCAAATTGCCTTTGAATTTCTCCAGGGCCCTGTCCTTTGACTGAAGAAGTAGTTCGTGCCGCAAAAAGCTAAAGATGTTCTGGGATATAATTGCAAACTAGGAATATGGTTCTCAAATATCTTTCAGTATGCAATCTTTGCAAACTCTCAAAAAAGGTTTTGATGGTTTTAAATCCTATTAGAATATGTGTGCCTGAAGCTTCTACAGGAGGAAATCAAAATGGTTAGCTATAAAACAGAATGCTTTTCTGTCTTTATTTCCTATGTGCTCTCTCTTTTATCACTCATAGTAAAATAATGTGTGCTTGTGTAAGGCCTTGTGGTCTCTCTCAGACTTCTGAATGATCTGCAGACAGGAACCAGAGGAAAGCAAGGATCTGGGAGAATGTGGTTGCAGTGGCTCAGGTGAGGCAGGCAGAGCCTTGGTGGCTGCCAGGAGGAGGCTGAGATTTATTCTGGGGAGAGACAGCAGCTGAAGACTTTAAGGAAGGATAAGGATGTGATCTGATTTCCATTTTAAGAATATCAGCATTGTCACTGGGTGGAGAAAGGATTTGAAGAGGTGCAAAGCAGAGGTGGAGACAGCCCTTTGGGAGGGAGGATGTCACAAGAATCCAGGAACCCGCTCCCTGGACCAAGAGAGTAGTGACTAAGATGGAGAGGAATGGTAGATATGTTTTAGAATTGGCATTGACAAGACTTGTGGGTACCTGGATGGCGGCGGAACGAAAGGAAGACTATCGAGGATGATGCTTAAGGTGTTTTTATTACTTATTTACTTATTTTGGTATCAGGTGTTGAGCTCAGGATCTCACGCTTGCCAGGCAGGCGCTGCACTGCTGAGCTAAATCCCCCATCACCTAAGGAATTTTTAGGGTTAGATCATCTATGAAGAAAACTTTTGTTCTTAAATCAAAAATGAACAAAGAAGTGGGAAAAAAAGAGGAAAAAGAAAAAAATGCTAGTTTCCTTGGTAAGCTCTTTGTCATATAGATGGTTTTTATCCTGAACTGAGTGAGGCCTGGGACTGCAAATTATAGCTGAGAACATGGTTCAGTGTTCTCAGTGTTTCTTCCCTTGAAATCGATTCATTGTCAGTCGATTCCTCTTTGGTTTCTAGTTGTTCTCCAAAGACTGTTCATGTGGGTTGGCAATCACTAATCAATTAGTGGTGACTGGGGAGATTTCCGTTCAATTACATGAGAACAAAACAAAACAAAACACTGAATTGTTGGTGAATGAGTGGAAAAGGCAGATGTTTTGTGGTAGCGGCTCCCATGCTGAATTCACAGGGCTTCACTGTTTGGGATAAATACCATCCTATCAGTCAAATGGTTTAGTTTTTTGAAGCTCACTGAGAAATTCTGAAAATGAGCCCCTGCCATGCCTTAGAGCTGACATTTCTGATATTCATAAAATGCACAGGTCAGCACACCAGTTCTGTGCCAGTTAAG